GTGGCTTCGGGCGCCATGCAGATGTTGGTATGTGTAGCTAAGCTCGTACATGGTATGTTGATGTCATGTAGGCTCTTGACTTCAGCTTTGAATACTCGGCGGTAGTGTTGCAGCCATGCTAGGTCACGGTCGGTAGGTGATGCAGACAAAACTCCAGAGTCCATTCGAACGTCAGTGTTCCCGCGGACTCCACCCCTCGACAACATGCGAACAATCTTAAACGTGCTGGCGAACTTACCGTTGAGGGCTTGCTTGTCTAGCTCAGTCGCATGCTCCTCTAACATGATGTTGCGGTCTATGTCGCACAGGGGCTTGATCAGGTCTTTCAGGACACGTTGCGTTTTTATAGCACACGCAATAACACGATTCATGGTACGTATGTTGACATGTGTTTGTTGATAGTCCACCACCGCCTGCCACCCATATTTACATGATGATGCACATGGGTATGGAGCATGCGTCTGAGCCAAGAGTACTTGAAATATTAGGCGCATTCGCAGGAGCCGATGCTGCTGAAAAAGCGCATGGACGTGCCGACGGAGGGGAGCATTCCACCTCAAGACCGTCCACGTACGATTTGAAATCCATGGCTTTGTGGGAGTATCACGTTTGTTACCAAAGGCTGCAACCGCTGCTTGACGAACATATGCGTTGAAGTGCTCAAGTTTCTCGGTCGGGTCCTGACCCTCCATCTGATACTCCCACATCTTGGCTCTGAATGTACGTCGGCATCTCGGATCGTCCAGCTGCCGCCGGTCGAATCTAGGCTGAAAAATGTGCGAAGCCTTCTCAATCACCTGTACTGCCGTGCCCTGATGCGGTGCAGCGCGTAGGACACATTCTGCAAGTACCACGCGGTGGTCCACACTCTGATCGAGAGTCAGATCAATGTCGTCGGAGACTCGGGCCTTCACCGCTTCTGAGTACTGGTCCCGCAGGATACAGATGTAGTCCAACCTGGAGGGCTTCCCACGCAACGGCTTCCAAGTCCAGTCACCTGCCTGAAAGGTATTGATGGCCAGCATGCGCTGCGACTCAAGCATGGTGCGCAGGAAGGAGCCGTTGAGATTCTCTCGAACCCCTTCCACCTGACCGAAGGCACTTGACTTCACTGAGCCCACTCTCGCATTCGCATCAATAGTAAGGACCACATACGCTGATGGAAATCGATTCCTCCACTTTATGATCGACTCTTGCAATAGAGACCAAAACCGCTGCCGCTGCTCAGCTGGCGTGTGCGAGTGAGGAGCATGAGCCGCCACCGCAAGAAGAGGGACTCGATCCCTGCCCTCATCAGCTGCGATGGTACCCGCCACCAGTACAATGCGAGAGCATGGAGCTTCCCAGGCATCCAGCCGGAACTTCACGTCGTAGCTCACCCACAACTGCGTTCCGTAGTTGCCCTTCGCATCCGCTGCCGCACAGAACATGGTGAAAAAGGTGCCAGAGCGAACCTGCTCCGTTCTGCTTCGTCCTTCTTGAATCCCAATCAAACGAATTCTTGCATGGTGAAACTGAGCCTCCAATAAGGCTACCTTTGACATCAAGGTGGCCCCCACCACCTTCATGTAGCTCGCCATCTCCTGCTTCGGGTACAACGTGCGCACATTGGCCGTGGCGCACACCACCGTGACGGACGGCGGGTCTTCTAGCTCACTGTTGGTGTCGTGCTGGCCGCCTGAAACCCCAAGGCAGCGTCGGGCACGTCTGCCCCAGGGGCCGCCGCTCCCTGCGCGACGGGTTGCTTGCCACGCAAGCGCCGCCTCTGGGCCAGCTGCTCGTCGGGCTCCATCGTCTCGTCGTTCACCCCCGCAGGCGTCAGCTGGGCGTTGGCCTCGGAGGCGATCTTCTGGAGCCCAGCCAACAACGTCATGATCTGCGTCTCCGCCGCCTGTAGCGTAGACTGAGGGATCGCTGGGGACGACTTCATGTCCGCGATCACCCTCGTGAGACACTGCGTGGAGGCCTCCAGCGAGTTCGGGGACTGGACCGAGAGCGCCTTCTGCTCGAGCTCCTGCAGCTCCTGCTTGCGCATCGTGGCCTCGGCCTCCGCCAAGCGCACCTCCTCCTGCGCCTTGGCCAGCGCCTTCTGGTTCTCGATGAGCCGCTTGTTGGCTCGCTCCACCGCCGACCTGCATGAGACCAGCTGACTGCTGAGAGGCTTCGACAACGTGATGCTCCTCTTGGCCTCCTGGATCTGGCGCTGCAGGAGGTTGCGTGTGTCTTGGAACTCCTCGCCTGGCGGCAGCGCAGCCAGGGAAGTCTCGAGACTCTTGATCTTCGTGCTCGTGTCGAGGGTGGGGCCCGTGCTCGATCCGTCGTATGAGGTCGTGGGGCCGACCGCCTCGTCCAGCGCCGACGTGCGCTGAGCCCACGGTGGGGTGACCTCGGCTTTGCTGGACTGCACCACCTGCGCCCAGCTCTTCTTCAGACCACACCCTTTGCATTTCTTTGTCGCCATCTGGTTCCACGCGCGGCACCCTTCGGTGCGGCACTGCCACCACTGATCCTCCTGCCACCACTGCTTCTGCGAGGCCCACCACGCCATCTGGACAGAGGGAGGCGAGCAACTGGAGGAGAGGCAGCGTGGAACGTAGGCTTACGTTCTGACTCAGAGGCCCCCTGACCATCTTGAGCCAAAAGGATACGGACCTCCTCCTCCTCCTCCTCCTCCTCCTCCTCCTCCTCCTCTTTCTCCTCCTCCTCCTCCTCCCTCCTCCTCCTCCCTCCTCCTCCTCCTCCTCCTCCTCCTCCTCCTCCTCCTCCTCCTCCTCCCCCCCCACCACCTCCTCCCCCCGCGAACCCCTCCCAAGCGCCACATCCCCCGAGAACCAGCGCTGCGACAGAAGTGCAGCACCGTGGAAGTCCACGACCGGAGCTCTCCAATTGCCCCCGCTTCCCGCACCATGTCTCGAGCCGGAGATCGGTCTGCGAGGGCTCCGCGGGGCGCGACGACGAGCGAGAGCGCCAGGTGCGAAAGCTTGGCACGCCCAGAGGTCAGGGCGGACCCCTTTCTCGATGCGGAGTGCATTGAGCGGGGACCGACCGTCCTGGCATTCCTATAGGCCTACCACGACATGTTCTTAGAACCCAGAAATGTTCGAATAACAACAAAAACCATGTCCTTAGAAGATGAGCCCGACATGTTAAAACAAGACAGTCCAAGCCAGAAATGTTCTAAGAACCTCTCGTGAAGACCACAAAAGATGGGCCTATAGGCAGGCCGGGACGCTTCGCCACTGCTTGAGTTCTCGATGTGGAGTGCAGCTGCGACGGACGACGACGAGCGACGACGACGACGACGACGAGCGCGGTGAGGGCCCGGAACGGGAGTCGACGACGACGACGAGGGACGACGACGACGACGACGAGCGACACGACGACGACGACGACGAAGACGGCGACGACGACGACGAGCACGACGACGACGACGACGACGACGAAGACGACGACGACGACGACGAGCACGACGACGACAACGAAGCCTCCGGGAGGCCCAGAACGGACGACGAGCGCGGGGAGAGGGCTGGCCGCTGCCTCGCCACGCCCCCCGCCGCAGCTGCAGCATACCCAGAGATCCAACGTATTGAAAAGTTCATGACGGAGGCTTTTTACACTGTTCGGCCTCTTTAGGGGCCCTCACCGGGCCTCGGGACCGTCAAGAAACGACTCGGGATGAAAAACAGGTCCTGGGGAATGGGTCGAGAAAACACCAGGGACCCCGCATTGAAACATGATGGACCCACGAACCCGGAAAGGGATAAAGACATGTGCAGCATGGTCACGTTTTCACGATACCCAACTGGGCGACATCTCACGAAACATCCCACGAGACACCCCGCGAAACATCCCACGAGACACCTCACGAAACATTCCACGAGACACCTCACGAAACATTCCACGAGACACCCCGTGAAACATTCCACGAGACACCCCACGAACAGGCAACCACTCAACCAGACACGCCACGAAACATTCCACGGGGGTGCGACTGGGTGTGGTCTGGGGTGCTGCTGGGTGTGGTCGTGCTGGGGTGTGGTCGTGCTGGGGAGTGGTCGTGCTGGGGTGTGGCGTGCTGGGGTGTGGTCGTGCTGGGGGGTGGTCGTGCTGGGGGGGTGGTCGTGCTGGGGGGTGGTCGTGCTGGGGCGTGGTCGTGCTGGGGCGTGGTCGTGCTGGGGCGTGGTCGTGCTGGGGTGTGGTCGTGCTGTGGTGAGGTCGTGCTGGGGTGTGGTCGTGCTGGGGTGTGGTCTTGCTGGGGTAGGGTCGTGCTGGGGTCGGGTCGTGCTGGGGTGTGGTCGTGCTGGGGTATGGTCGTGCTGGGGTGGGGTCGTGCATGGTCGTGCTAGGGTGGGGTCGTGCATTTCGCTCGAGACATCCTGCCAAAATTCCAGGAAATCGTACAAAAACAAAGGAATTAGTCGAGACATCATCGAAATTCCTTCGCGCGGGGCGCTTTTCCGCGTCGCGGTCGGCTCTGCAAAACAAGCGTTTCGCTCGAGACATCCTCGGCAAACTCTGCGGAGCAAGCGTTTCGCTCGAGACATCCTCAACACACGAAAAAGTGGCCCGCACCCTGTGATTTATCGATCGGGATTTCAAAAACAAGCGTTTCGCTCGAGACATCCTCAAATTTTAATTCGCCGGCCTCCTTCGACCTCGATATTTATCAGGGAAAAAATTCGCCGGCCTCCTTCAAGTTGGCACCGGGGGACAGGTTTACCTACTAAAAGAGAACCCTGGGCCCGCGCCCTTTCCGGGAAAAATCACGACGTCGGATCTCTGGGTACGGTGTGCTCGTAGGAAGCCCGCAAAGGACGTACGCGCCCAGCTATGTACATGAACACAGCCCCTCGATCTGCGAGACTGGCCGCGTGATACGAACATTTGCGCAATGCGTACTCTCGAAACCAGCGTGGATTCATGTACGTGTACGTCCTTCTTTCGCTCCTGAGCTCGGGAGCCCCCCCCCGGGCGCCCCGGGGGGCCCCCGCCCGCGGCGCCTGCGTGTTGGCCGCCTGCGCCTTGGCCTGCCCGGGGCCCGGCCGGGCCTTCCCGCGTCTCATCGCCTGCTCGCCCCACACCTCGGGTGCTGCTAGAATGAAGGGGCCCTGGGACACACAAACGAATACTTACACATAAAAGGATTCCCCATATTTCCCATATTTCTGGGTGTCTGTCTTCCCCCCGCTGCCAATATTTTCCCTTATTTTCTGGGGAATCGACGATGCATGGTGTCTGTGTGATTTTTCTCCTCCTGATAAAGGTGCCCCAGGCCGAAGGTACCCCCAGGATTCTCGGGGTGGCCTTGACGGCCTCCAGGGGACCCCTCACGAGGCCCAGAGGGCCCCAGAGGCTTCAGAAGGAAGCGAAAAGCTAGGAGCACCGGGGGCCAGGGGCACCTCCATCAACATCCGAGCCCCCCAGACATGACCGCATCGACCAAAAATCTGGACAAGAGGCTTTTGGCCATCTTCGGCCTCGAGGGGCCCTCGCTGGGCCTCGGGAACGCCAGAAAACGACCCAGGCTGAAAACAGGTCCCGGGGAAAGGGTCGGGCCTTCCAGGGACCCCGTATTGACAGAAATCAAAACGTCGCATGCCTGGGCCCGTACCCGCCCGTGCCCTCGAGGGGTGCTCGCGCACGGCCGGGCCCAGGACACGGGAGCATCCGCCAAGGGCGCGAGGCCCTCCGCTGGCCAAGCTGAGGATCCTTCGAGAGTGCCCTCCCCCAGGATGCACAAGAGGACCTCCAGCACGCACGAACCGCATCATCATGGCACCCTCCCCGAACAGGCCTCGATCCCCTGAGCTCCGACGCTGTGAAGACATTGCAGTTTCACCATCGTGAAACATCACGACCGGAGCACCAGACCTCATCAGCTCTCGAGCCGGATCGATCTGTGAGGGTCCCCGGGGCCCGAACAATAGGAGAAGACGCCTGGCTCGAAGCAATGGCGACGCCAGGACCTCCGGGGGAAGAACATGTTGGGCACCCTCCCAGAACCGACCTCCATCTAAGTAAGAATCAGGAATTCAATCTGCAACTGCACTCCTTCGCCTGTCCGTCTTGTTGCTCGCGCTCTTCACTCAAACTCAGTACACAGCCTGGCTCAAGCACAAATCAAGCTGCTCAAGAGATCGTGACATCAAGAACTCTGCTTTCAAAGTGCTGCTGGGTACCATGACGGATATCATGAGCACCTCGGTCCGACCGCGCCCTCCCGCGCCGCCCTCGGACCTGCCGGGGGAGCCGGAGCATGCTCCTGCCGCCAGTGGCGGCGCGGGGCACGGAGCCGCGAGCAGCGCCGGCGAGGGCGCGGCGGAGCCAGTCCCGCACCGAAGCTCTGAGAGGGAAGCACGGTCGAAACGCGGTCATGAAGAACCCCAAATGAGGGGCGAGGCCCCTCTTTTCCGTGAGTTCGTTTCGATGGGCGGCGTCCGCACGCCATTCCCCCACACGGTACAGCGCTTCGTGGCCCTATCGGGAGCTCCACCGAAGGCCCCAGTGGCACCGCCCGCATGCGGCCGCGTGCGTCACCCCCCAGCCAGTAAAATGCTTCGTGACTCCATAGGGAGCTCCACGAAGGCCCCAATGGCGGTGTGCGCATGCGTTGCCCCAACACAGTACAGCGTTTCGTGGCCCAGTAGGGAGCTCCACCGAAGGCCCCAGTGGCGGTGTCCGCATGCCTTTCACCCACCCAGTACAGCGTTTCGTGGCCCCATACGGAGCTCCACCGAAGGCCTCAGTGGCGGTGTCAGCATGCTTGACCCTTCCCCTGTACAGCGTTTCATGACTCCATAGGGAGCTCCACCGAATGCCCCAGTGGCGGTGTCCACATGTGTTTCCCCCACCCATTACGGCGCTTCGTGGTCCCACAGGGAGCTCCACCGAAGGCCCCAGTGGCGGTGTCCGCATGCGTTTCCCCTACTAGGGACAGCGCTTCGTGACCCCATAGGGAGCTCCACCGCAGGCCCCAGCGACGTGTCCGCATCCGTTTCTCCCACTCAGTGCAACGTTTAGTGGCGGTATCCGCATGCGCTTCCCCAACCCAATACACGCGTCGTGGCCCCATAGGGAGCTCCATCGAAGGCCCCAATGGCGGTGTCCGCATGCGTTTCCCCTACTAGGGACAGCGCTTCGTGACCCCATAGGGAGCTTCACCGCAGGCCCCCAGCGACGTGTCCGCATCCGTTTCTCCCACTCAGTGCAACGTTTAGTGGCGGTATCCGCATGCGCTTCCCCAACCCAATACACACGTCGTGGCCCCATAGGGAGCTCCATCAAGGGCCCCAGTGGCGGTGTCCGCATGCGCTTCCCCAACTCAATACGGATTTCAGGGCTCCGTCGGGAGCTCCCTCAAGGCCACAGTGGCTGTGACCGCATCCGTTTCCCCCACTCAGTGCAACGCTTCGCTGCCCCATAGGGAGCTCCACCGAAGGCCCCAGTGGCGGTGTCCGCATGCCATTCCCCCACACAGTACAGCGTTTCGTGGCCCTATCGGGAGCTCCACCGAAGGCCCCAGTGGCGGTGTTCGCATGCGCTCCCCCCACCCAGTACAGCGCTTCGTGGCCTCATAGGGAGCTCCACCCAAGGCATCATTGGTGGTGTTCGCATGTGTCTCCCCCGCCCAGTACAGCGCTTCCTGGCGCCATAGGGAATTCCACCGAAGGCACCAGTTGCGGTTTCCGCACGCGTCTCCTCCACTCAGTACAACGCTTCGTGGCCCCATAGGGAGCTCCACCGAAGGCCCCAGATGCGGTGTCGGCATGCGTCTCCTCCATTCAGTACAGCGCTTCGCTGCCCCATAGGGAGCTCCACCGAAGGCCCCAGTGGCGGTGTCCGCATGCCTTTCACCCACCCAGTGCAACGCTTCGTGGCCCCATACGGAGCTCCACCGAAGGCCTCAGTGGCGGTGTTGGCATGCGTTACCCTTCGCCTGTACAGCGCTTCGTGACTCCATAGGGAGCTCTACCGAATGCCCCAGTGGCGGTGTCCACATGTGTTTCCCCCACCCATTACAGCGCTTCGTGGTCCCATAGGGAGCTCCACCGAAGGCCCCAGTGACGGAGTCCGCATGCGTTTCCCCTACTAGGGACAGCGCTTCGTGACCCCATAGGAAGCTCCACCGCAGGCCCCAGCGACGTGTCCGCATCCGTTTCCCTCAATCAGTGCAACGTTTCGTGGCGGTATCCGCATGCGCTTCACCAACCCAATACACATGTCGTGGCCCCATACGGAGCTGCATCGAAGGCCCCAGTGGCGGTGTCCGCATGCGCTTTCCCAGCTCAATACGGATTTCAGGGCTCCATCGGGAGCTCCCTCAAGGCCACAGTGGCTGTGACCGCATCCGTTCCCCCCACCCAGTGCAACGCTTCGCTGCCCCATAGGGAGCTCCACCGAAGGCCCCAGTGGCGGTGTCCGCATGCCATTCCCCCTACACAGTACAGCGTTTCGTGGTGGCCCTATCGGGAGTTCCACCGAAGGCCCCAGTGGCGGTGTTCGCATGCGCCCCCCCCACCCAGTACAGCGCTTCGTGGCCTCATAGGGAGCTCCACCCAAGGCATCATTGGTGGTGTTCGCATGTGTCTCCCCTGCCCAGTACAGCGCTTCCTGGCTCCATAGGGAATTCCACCGAAGGCCCCAGTTGCGGTGTCCGCACGCGTCTCCTCCACTCAGTACAGCGCTTCGTGGCCCCATAGGGAGCTCCACCGAAGGCTCCAGTGGCATGGTTCGCATGGCGGCACCGTTCCATTCGGCACACCTCACACACGTTTCGTGTCCCCACATGGAGCGCCACCGAAGACCCCAATGGCTGCGCCCGCATGCGTCCTCGCCCCATGCCCGCACACCCTTTACACGCTTCGTGGCCCCATACCAAAAGAAACAGCCGAAGACGATACCCACAATAGCTATACTCACAACTGCATATGTTTGGACCCTTCACATTGATTGTGTAGTCTCCGTCTCCCTCTCCCTCTCTTTCTCGCTCCTCTCTGCTTTCCCTCCCTCTTCCCCCTCTCTCTATCTCTCGCTCTTCCTCTCCCTCTCACTATCTCTCTCTCTCTCTCTCTCTCGCCGTCTCTCCTCTGAAAATCATCGCGCCGGTTGCTCCATTCGCAGCGGCCCCCGCCCAGAAAGATCATAACCCCTCTTCTGGACAAGCATTGCACCTCGTCGTCCACGCGATTCCCTACGCAGGTGCGCAGAAGGCACCCCATGCACCACCACCATGCCTGACCAGAGACACCCTGGGCCCTGGGCCCTGGCGCGGAGTATACGCCCCATCGCCGAGGCGCCAAGAGGGTCTATAAGCCATCCTCGTGCCCAGGATGGCGGTGGCCAGGCATGGGCGGCAGGTGCCTCCTGCGGAAGCTACGCGATCTCCCCGGCTGGTCGAACGCTCGATGACAGCAGAGATCGCGATCAGCACCCCTCTCTCTGGAGGCCCTCCCTTCGGAGCGCTCGGAAAGGCCACAGGCCGTCGGCGAGAGGCCGCCTCCTCCTCCTCCTCCTCCTCCTCCTCCTCCTCCTCCTCCTTCTCCTCCTCCTCCTCCTCCTCCTTCTGCTCCCCTCCTCCTCATTCCTCCCCTCCTCCCTCATCCTCGTCCTTCATCCTCGCTCCCTCTTCTTTTTCCTCCCTCCTCCTGCTCTCCCCTCCCCCCTCCTCCTTATCCTCATCCTCCTCCTCCGCCCGCCTGCTTCCCAATCCTCGTCCTCGTACTCGTCCTCGCCCTCGTCCTCCTCCTCCTCATCATCATCATCATCATCATCATCAGCAGCAGCAGCAGCAGCATCATCATCATCATCATCATCATCATCATCATCATCATCATCATCATCATCATCATCATCATCATCATCATCATCAACATCATCCTCTTCCTCCTCCTCTTCCTCCTCCTCCTACTCCTACTCCTCCAAAGTCCTCCTCCTCCTCCTCCTTCTTCTACTCCTCCTCCTCCTTCTCCTCCTCTTCCTCCTGCTCCTGCTCCTGCTCCGACTACTCCCTCCTACTCGTCCTCCCCCCCCTCCCCCATATTCGTCTTCCTCCTCGTCCTCCTCCTCCTTCTCCTCCTCCTCCTGCTTCTCCATTCCATCCGCATCTCCCCCCTCATCGACCGTCCTCTGTCCCCTCCTCCCCTTCCTCCTCGTCGTCCTCTTAGGCGTGCAATGGCACCGCACAGGCTTCATCTTCTTCCTCCCATTGCAACCTGGCGGTGCCTTCGAAGCTTCTCAGCCCTCGGCATGGCCAGGCCTCTCCCCCACAACGCGCGCCTGAGCCTCTGCAATCTTGTCGAAGAGGCTGTCGTCTCTTTGTGGCTTCGGAGGCTGTCGCGATCGGCAAAGGCCATGGATGAACAACAGCGTGACACGCGCGTTCGCAGATTCACCAAGAGCGCAATGGTGTGTCAACATTCCCTACCGGCCTCGACATATGTGTGTGTGTGTGTGTGTGTCGAGCCCGCTGTTCACATTGAGCCCACCTTGAGTCACAGCAGGCCTGCGCACGAGATCGCCTCACTGCAGTCAACCCGTACAACAAGGACGCGCGGTAAGGATGCAAGGGCCTTCGAACGCCATGTTGACGTTTCTCGAGTGGGGCTGGCCAGCGAAAGTTGCCAGGGATGGGCCTAAGGGGCAAGGATGCAAGGGCAACCGTGGAAAACTCGCTCATTCTTACTATGCGGGTTGACTGTATCAGCGGATTCGCTCCTCCCGACAGCTGCACGCCCTGAACATGTGGTGCACACAACGCAGCGTGAGAGGGGGAGAACACGCAACGGACGAGAGTGCCACTCCCGAGGAGAAGTAAGAGCCCCCTCTCTGGCGAACGAGGAAAGACGGAACTCGAGCGGGGACAACTTGTCTCTACCATCAACCCGTACCAAAAAGACGCACGATAAGGATGCAAGTGCCTTGTAAGGCCACCTCGAAGCTTTTCGAGCGGGGCACGACCAACGGAAGTGGCCAGGGATAGACCGAGGAGGCAAGGATGCAAGGGTACCCTTGGAAAGGTTGCCTACCCCTACTATGCGGGTTGACTCTACCTCGCCCCCCTCCCCATCATCATCCAGCTCCTCCTGGGAGGAGGAGATAGAGGAGAGAAGCTGGGGGGGGCGAAGGGGGGGAGATGAGAAGGAGGGGAAGAGAGAGGATGAGGAGGACGAAGAGGGGGAGAGGGATGAGGAGAGGGAGCAGGAGGGGTGAGGGGGCGAAGGTGGCGATGAGGAGGGGTTATGGGGAGGAGGTGACGGGGAATGACGGGGAGAAGAAGGAGAAGCGGCAACATGCTGTAACACGCCCCTCCTCATCCTCCCTCATCATTTCACTCCTCCCCTTCCTCCTCATCCTCCTCCTCCTCCTCCTCCTCCTCCTCCTCCTCCGTTCTCCTCCCCCTCCTCCCCCCCCATCCTCCTCCTCACCCCTCCTCCTCCTCTCGTTTCCCTTGTAGGCAACTCCTCCCTGTCGCACCCCGCTCTACCTGCCGCACGGCAGCGCCTGCGGGCGGACAAACATACGAGCCGATTCTGCTCGCCGCGCAGCCGCGCAAGGGGAACAACAACAACTACTAACCCAGTCTGCCCGTCACGTGGCAAAGCAAGGCCGCGTAAAAAAAGGTAAGATGCCGCTCCGCCCGTCGCTCGGCAACGCCTGGGAGGGAGGGAACAGGGGGGGCAGCGGAACCGACACTGCTCTATACCACATGCGCCGCACGGCACTGCAGCGGGCGGACCACATGCGACTCTACTCCGCTCGTCGCGTGGCATCGCAGGGGGCGGAACAACACGCATGAGTTTCGACCGGCGCACAGCCACGCACGGCGGCAGAAGCAGTAGCATTCGGATATGCCCACCACGCGGCAACGCCTGGAAGGTAACCGAATCGAATTCCATCATACTCGCCTCGTGGCAACGCACGGGGCGGAAGATGCAATTCCACTCTGCTCGTCGCGTGGCGGAGCAGCAGGCGGAAACAACTTGCATCCTGCTCGCCCCCTCGCGCGGCGACCCCTGGGGGACGACAGACCTCGCGCGGCGTGCTCGTAGGGAGCCTCGCCCTCCTCGCCGTCCTCCGTTCGATGCTCATCCTCCTCCTCCTTTTCCTCCACCCTTTCCCTCCTCCTCCTCCTTCTCCTCCTCCGCCTCCTCCTGTTCTTCCTACTCCTACTCCTACTCCTACTCCTACTCCTACTCCTACTCCTACTACTCCTACTCCTACTCCTACTCCTACTCCTACTCCTCCTCCTGCTCTTCCTCCTCCTCCTCCTCCTCCTCCTCCTCCTCCTCCTCCTCCTCCTCGTGAAGCGTTCGCTCTTTCTCTCTCTCTCTCTCTCTCTTTCTCTCTTTCCCTCTTTCTATATATATATATATATATATATGTGTATGCGTCCTCCGCGTCCCCCGCGTCGTCATGCGACGCCTCGTGCTCCTCCTCGCCACCCTGTCATCCTGTGATCCTGTCCACGAAGCCGAGAGGGCCCCGGGAGGCGGGGGAGGCGCGCCGGGCACTCGGGCGGAGAATGCAGCGCGCCAGCAGGGAGCCCTATATATAGAGATCCGCGAGCGGCCGGCCTTCGATGAGGGAATACAGCCGCTCCTCTCATAACCCCCGCGCCTCCTCTCTCCTCCCGCCTCCTCTCTCCTCCCACCTCCTCTCTCCTCCTCCTCCTCCTCCTCCTCCTCCTCCTCCTCCTCCTCCTCCTCCTCCTCCTCCTCCTCCTCCTCCTTCCCCTGCCTCTCCCTCCAGCGCACATGCCCAATCCCGGCTTCCACAGCTGGCGCCCTCAGCCCTTCCCTGGGTGCTCCTCGCTCTTGGGTTCGCGCGCGTTCCCTGGGTTCCTCGGGTCGCCGCCCCTGTTTCAGGCGCTGGTGCCACCGCTCCCTGGGCATTGCCTGCTTCCCGGGGTCGAGTCGGTAAACGTTGCGTCGGCTCGGCCACGGCGTGGCGGGACGCAGTCAGTAAGTATTGCGATGCCGCGTGGCACGCAGCGGCTATGTGCTCATATGCGTTTCGTACTCCGCATGTTGCTTGCTTGCCTGCCTGCGGGCCGAGGCTTTTCCAGGCGTGTAGCCCCTTGGAGGCCACCGCATCGCCTGCACCTTCGCCCCCCTCTGGTCGTCCCCGGGATGCGCGGGGTGTGCGCGGCGCGGCGGCGAGTGCACCCCCGCGAGTGGGCGAGCCTCACCGACGGCGAGCGCGAGCGACGGCGGTCCGTGCAGCGTCGGCGCTGTGAATGCCGGCGCCGAAGCGCAGCAGGCCCGGGGGTCGGAGATGTCTAGGGCTGCAGTCCGCGCCGCGCGGCGCAGCTGCGAATTGTCCATATCTTCTCCTGCTCCTCCTCCTTCTCCTCCTCCTTCTTTTTGTTCCTCCTCCTCCTCCTCCTCCTCCTCCTCCTCCTCCTCACATGTTCTCAGCCATCCTCCCGCGGAAAATCCCGAGCGCGCATTGCGCCCCCGAGGCCCGTGCAGTGCGACGTTATGATACCGAGGGGAGAGATGGGGGGCGATGACGGGGGGCGACGAGAAGGAGGAGGTGGAGATGGAGGAAGCGGAGGAGGGACAGTGATCGCAGTGTGATACAAGAGCAGGAGACACAAGGAGGAGGAGGAGGAGGAGGAGGAGGAAGAGGAGGAGGAAGAGGAGGACGAGGACGAGGATGATGATGATGATGAGGAGGAGGAGGAGGGGGAGGCGGAGAAGGAGGGGGAGGAGGAGGGAGAAGGAAGAGGAGGAGGAGAAGGAGGAGGAGGAGTGAGTGAGTGAGCGACGACGGTCGCGAAACGATTTCGGTGGATTACGAAGCCCGACGAGCCAACTCTGCTCAGCTGCGGACCTTAGGCCAGCGCCCTGCGATAATATTGGCTAATATATATATATATATATATGTATCAAATATATGGCTCGATTGGGCATCGTGGCCTCATGACACGGTTGCTCAAGGGTTCTCAAACACTGACAGGCAGAGTGCCCACACAAGCAACGAAGCCACAACTTAAGCCTCTTCTGTCAACGCATCCGATGACTACTGTGCACCACCACCCCCTGCAATGTGCAGTTGTACCCCTATTGGCAGCCCGAACAGCAACCCCGTCAATATCACTGAGTTCAAAACACGGCCTGTCGACCCGCACGGCACGAGTGGCTAGGGTAGCGGAGCTACCAAATTTGAGACATCTGCGTCCACTATCTACTAAGATGTGGGTCGAGGGAGCGGGGGGAGGGGTTGGCCGCTCAGATTTTCTCCTGGGCCCATCTCCCGCAAGCTCCTTCTCACATTACCAGTTGCACTTAACAATCTCATGCGAATGAGGAAACCTTTTCGTTCTGTATCATGCCACGCGGACCTCACATCCTCGGGGACTCGGACACGATCGGCGGCAGCCCTGGCGAGAATATCGGCAACTGCGTTTCCTTACACCATCCATGCTGGAGCGGTGCATCTGGAAAGCTCCTGCACTGTCACCTGTGAGTAGACGAACAACACAACAAATGCTGCCTCATCTCGTTCACGAAACTGCACTCCGACCTGCCACCGCAAGTCAGCATCTTGGCCTGCTGGCGACTGGTGCCGTCTCTGCGCCCGGCCGTCCGCAACTCCACTGCTGTCCGTGACGTATGTCACGTGCCCTGATGTGGTCTGTGCCGCTCGCAGAACTGCCCTCAGCTCTCCGCGGGGCACCGTCTGCTTCACCTGCGGTCCGACCGAATGGGCCCAAAACCGTCGCTCCGACACGAAACGGCGTGACACGATCCACCCTGGCGGTTGGAAAGCCCAACTCGACGCAGTCGGCTGCTGCTGGAATCTGCTCCCCCGCTGGCATCACCACGCACAACGATTGGACGCTGGGCCGTGTCGTGGCCGGACGTAGCGTGGGAGATATAATCCCCAACCGTACACGCCGTGAACCACTGCTCGTCTGATGCTTTTGGGGGTACAGCCAGCCACGACGAGGGAATCAAACCTCTAAGCCGGAAACATTCGTCGGCCTGCGCTTGGGTATACGCCTCGGCTGCCAACGGATCTGAATGGTTGTGTGCTTCCGAACCGCAATTCTCGACACAGCTCCATGCTCTGTGAAACATGTCCTCGTCTGCTACGCCACATCGGGACAAGTCCGTGAAATTGAGGCACATGCTTTGGCTGCCTCCGCTCGTCGTACTCTGGGTCATGACGCACCACACGCAATGGCAACCAGCAGCTCAGGGGATGACGATGACGATGCTGATAATAATGATGATGCTGATGATGATGTTGACAATAATGCTGCTGATGATGATGACACTGATGATGATAACGATAATGATGATAAGTATGATGATGACGATGGTGATGGTGATGTTGCTGTTGATGATGGTGATGTCGACGGTGCTGATAATGGTGATGATAATCTAATGGTGATGATGACAGTGGTGCTGTTGATGATGATGGGGATGCTGATAATGATGATGCTGGTGATGGTGATGGTGAGGGTGATGGTGATGACGATGCTGTTGATGCTGATGGCAAGTTTGATGATGATGGTGATGGTGGTAATAATGGTGATGATGCTGATGCTGGTGATGATGCTGCTGCTGATGATGATTATGCTGATAATGATGAGGAGGAGGAGGAGAATGAGGAGGAGGAGGAGGAGGAGGAGGAGGAGGAGAAGGAGGAGGGGGGGAGAAGGAGTGGTGAAGGGTGTGGTGGTGCGACGCTGGCGTGGGACGGGTGTCTGTGCTCGATGGTTGTGATGGGGGGGAGGAGGGAGGAGGAGGAGGAGGAGGAGGCGAAGAAGGAGATGAAGTAGGAGTAGGAGTCAAGCTAGCCAGCTCGAGCGAGTCAAGCATGGCATGCCCATTCCCTCCCGCCCTCCCACAACATCAGAAACAGTGCTGGCGAAACTGGGGACCAAAATCAGATCGGCAAGGTGGTTTGCCACAGCTGATGCAGCCGCGATGGCGGTTACCGATGGGAAATCCCTGGCGCGCCTCAAAGACTGCGCTGGCATTTCAGCATGAGCCGAGGAGGCCCCAGGAAGCCCCAGGAGGCCCCAGGAGGCCTCAGGAGAAGCCCCAGCGACCCCCAGGAAGCCCAAGGAGGCTTCAGGAGGGCCCAGGAAGCCCTAGGTAATTCTAGGAGGATCCACGAGGCCCTGGGGAAGCCCCGGGAAGCCCCAGGCGCTAGGCGCTCGACGAATTGGCGAGCGAAAAATGTGCGCCGCGCCCTAGCGGGAGCGCAATTTCCAGAAAACACGGCGCGGCGCCGAAGCGAGATCGACATTTCGCCCTGTCGCGAGCGATGTGCACCGCGCCCCCTTCCTGCCACGCGTTTCGCAAAGCCGACGACAAAAAAAATCCCCATTGAGAAGACACATGCCGACTTTGTATTGTTTTTGACAGGTCGGATGGCCCCTCCCGCTTGGGGTTGCCCCAGACGTCCGCGCGCGATGTGCGCCGCGTCCCATTCCTGCTACGATTTCGCATCGTCGAGGACAAGGCAGGCCATGCCGAGAGGATAAACGGGGACTTCGTATTGATTTTTACAATCACGATGGGAGGGCCCAGATTGACGGCCGCGCGCGATGTGCGCCGCGTCCTACTCCTGCTACGCATTTCGCATCGTCGACGACAAGAAAGGCCATGTTGAGAGAAAAACGACGACTTTGTATTGAATTTTCACAGTTAGGATTGGAGGGCCCGGATGGGGCCGCTATGGCCGCTATCGGCCGGCCAGAGGGGGGAGTAAGAGTAGATTCTAAGAAGGAAACAGGATAGGAGTAGGAGAAGGAGGAGGAGCAGGAGGAGGAAGGAGGAGGAAGGAGGAGAAGGAGGAGGAGGACGAGGAGGAGGAGGAGGACGACGAGGAGGAGGAGGAGGAGAGATGGAAGGCGAGGCCCTCCCTCGCTCTTCCGGGGGTGGCCCAGGCGGGGGGGGGGCGGCGGGCGCCCTGGTCGGCCGGTGCTTCTCGGCAGCGGTGGCCTCCACCCGCGAGGCGGGAGCCGGGAGGCCTTCCTCTGCCGACGAGCGAGGGGGGGAGTTTCGGAGGTGCGAGGCTCGAGGCGCTCGGGAGGTGTCGTCGGTTCTCGGCGGCTTGCCAGCCTCGGGATGCGTTCCAGCGGCTGCTCCTCCTCCTCCTCCTCCTCCTCCTCCTCCTCCTCCTCCTCCTCCTCCTCCTCCTCCTCCTCCTACAGCGGAGATTGTCCCGGACGGCCGCTGGAGACCCGAGTAACGACTCAAAAACCAGATGCGGCGGCGCGACCGGCGGGGAAGTGAGGAGGAGAAGGCCTTCTCAGAGGAAGGCGGCGGGACTTCTCAGAAGCCCTCGCGCCTTCCGAGGAGTCTTCCGTGCCTTCAGGGAAGGCTTAGAAAGCTTCTCAGAAGACCCGGGGGGCTTCCAAGCCTTCTGAGAAGGCCCGCCCCCGTCTCGCTTCCCCCCGGGCTCGTGGCCGATTCCTGACTTGATCGATCAATGAGTCATCGGTCGATCGGCGTCTCTCGACCTCGGTCAATGGATCTCGTCCGATCTCTCGGCGTGTCCCTCGCTCTCTCTCTCTCGCTCGTCTGCCTCTGGTGTGCAAGTTGCGTCGTGGTCCTCTGTTTTCCTCCCTTCCTCGTCCACTCTCCCTATCCGTCCCTCCCATCCTGCGTCTCTCTCTCTCTCTCTCTCTCTCTCTCTCTCTCTCTTTGTCTCGCTCACTAACACCTACATGCGTATACGCATGCATAAGTTTGTCATGTGGTGTTGTATTATCTTTCTCTCTCTCTCTCTCTTTCTCTTTCTCTCTCGGTATATATATATAAACTTATATACATATATTAGCCGGTCTCTCGATATATATATATATAGCTACACATAAAACAATACTTGAACCACGCGCGCTTCGTGCGCTCTTAAGCTCTAGCTAGGCGCAAGCACGGGATTTGCGGTGAAACCATGTGGGTGGAAGTGAGTCCAGGAGAATCGAGAGTTTCCTGAAGATTCACTGAGGACGGGAAGCCATGAGGAATGAGGGCGCACTAAGAATACCAGAGGAGTAAAATGGAACGAACACCATCTGAAAAACCTCAGGAGCAACCAGGAGATCTGCCTCCCGGCAGCTTCTTAGGGGGCTCTCTGGGAGCCCTCCAGAAGCATCTTGGAGGCCCCGTGGGCCGTCCTGGCGCCATTTACATGGAGCGCTCCGGAGCCGTCTCGGACCCCTTCCGGGCCGCCCTGAAGGCGTCCTGGAGCCAGCGTGGGCGGTCCTGGGAGCATCCTGGCGCCTCCGGGGCTCCTGACCACAGCCACCTGGCAAATGGGGGCAACACCTTGCAAATTGGGGCAACACCTCCCTCCTCTTCCTCCACGTCCTTCGTCGTCCGCCTCCTCCTCTTGCTCCTCCTGCTGATGCTCTTCCCCTGTCTCTTTCAACAGGCTGCGGCTCCCTATCCGTTTCGCAGCGCGCGTTTCCGAAACTTGTTGTTTCGCCCCGGATGGCCTTCAATTTATTTTGTCAGGAGCTCTGGGATTGCTGGATTTGGAGACAACAAAAATCGCCATCCGGCCCGACCGCCGCACTGGCCGAGACCACAGGGCCTCGCGCACAGCGTTCAACCAATGAGGCGACCGAGCGCCGTCGAGACGAAATGCTCAAGGTTTCGGTGGGGATCGGTTGGAGCAAAATGATTTTTTAAAAGTTGTCGCTGCACTCGATTTTGAAATTCCTGCGACACCTAAGGTTTTTGAAGGATTCCGGCATGGGCGCGCGACGACGCGCGCGGCACTTCGCCCCATGTTTTCCACGGGGTTCTTGCGACAACACGCGCGCAAGGGCGTTCGAATGATTTCGACATGCGCGCGCGTGGGGCACGTTTGGTCGCATTTGATGAACATGTTGAAAACCGACGGTTTCCATAAGATTTCGCAAGAGCGCGCGCGCAGATCATTTCTCGATTTTGAATTCCGTACGAACCTTCGGTTCTGAATGATTACAGGATGCGCGCACAGAGACGCGCGCGCGTGAACTGCGTCCATGCTTTTGCAAGGGATTCTACACGTGTGACTGTTGATAAACGAGTGTGCGCGCATTTTGCTTCTGCAAAGGATGGCGGGGGTGCCGAACCCGGTTTGGCTGGGATCATACGAACTCATATTTAGAATGAACTAGGGGGCACAATCATACGAAAACTGCACATCCCCAAGGGGGAGTGGGGCCACGACCTCGGGAGTGCTGTGGACCCTAATCGTTTACGCAGAGAAGAACGTGTGTGATGCGCCAGCTATGTTGTGCTACCTATTTGGCGGCACTCTATGCGGGCGGCGACGGGGCTTCGACGAGGCGGCAACGGCGGCCGCATAGCCGCCAGACCGGAAGACAGGCCCCGACGACGGGCGACGACGAGGCGGCGACGGCGGCAGCATAGCTGTCAGACCGACAGAGGCCCCCCAGAGGCAAGCAGCTTGGGGAATACAAACGAATAGGCGTGTGTGAGCTAGCTAGCGTGGACCGCAGCAAGCAAGTCGATGTACTGCGGATGCGTGGAAGCTATGGGATGCAATCTGCGTGGTGCAGGCTACATGGTGTAAGGTGTGTGGTATAACTTCGACCTCCCCATCGTGTTGGGCGGCGGCGAGGCGGCAACGGGTGGCGACGCGGCGAAACCTCGACGAAATCCCCCAACAGGGCGGCAACGAGGCGGCAACGGGCGGCGACGCGGCGAAACCTCGACGGAACCTGCCAAGGTGGGCGGCAACGAGGTGGCAACGGGCGGCGACGCGGTGAAACCTCGATGTAATTACCCCCCCAAGTGCGCGGCAAAGATGCGGCAAGGAGGTGGCGACGCGGTGAAATCTCTGGTCCATCGGTGGTGGCGTATTCATCGTGGCTGGTATGCTTGCTCAGCCCTCGGGTCGCGCCTGGCCTGGAAGGCGGTCGAAGTCACCGTGCAGCCGGGGCGGACTTGGCTGCAACCTGGCCTGTCTTCCAAAGACTCGGGCCCAAACTGCTTGAGCGAAACATGGATACGGGAAGAAACAAGAGAAACATGAGCGCGGCGACAATTAACCGTTTCAGCGCCCTCCTCCCTCGGAGATGTGCTTATAAATGTGATAATGCTCCAACATCGCTCTAGATTGCTCACCGTTGGTTCCCAGTGTAGTTTTCCGTCTTTGCTATGACCTTCACTTCTGTTCATGCTCAAAAGGGGTAGCTCTCAACAGCTTGCCGAACCGGAGGCTGTGGCAACTCAAACGGTTAATCCCTTCTTTTTTTAACAAGCAATGGCATGCACGTGCCGTTCGTATGCAATCGTTCAAGTGCACATATATATATATATATATATATATATATATATATATATATATTTATTCGTTCAAGTGCACATATATATATACATATACATGTACATACATTTATCTCTGTGTCCCCTTTCCTCGTCCCTCTCCTTTTTACTCCTCTCACCACGGGTTTTGTGCTACAGGGGGGCTGCCAGCGGAGACCCCCTCCCATGTCCTCTTGGGACTCCGAAGCCTGGCCAGGGGCGGCAGCGCGACGCGAGTCCGAACCCTCGGAGTTAACCGGGAGCGGCAGCGCGACGCGAGTCCGAACCCCCTCGGGTGAGGGCGGCAGCGCGCGACGCGTGTCCGAACCCCCCCCGGGACCCCTTTCGAGCCCTCCAACTCCTGCTGGGACGGCTTCAGCGCATCCTCAGATGGCTCGAAGTCGGCACATCTTCTAGCCAACTCGGCTCGGGCAGGGTTTTAGGGCGGGGCCGAGGCGGCTACGGAGAGGCGGTTTAGAGGAGATCGTTTCGAGGACGGAGGGGGGCTGAGATAAAACCCATGAGAATCTCAAGGGTATTTATCTCTGTGTCCCCTTTCCTCGTCCCTCTCCTTTTTACTCCTCTCACCAAGGGTTTTGTGCTACAGGGGGGCTGCCAGCGGAGACCCCCCCCCATGTCCTCTTGGGACTCCGAAGCCTGGCCAGGGGCGGCAGCGCGACGCGAGTCCGAACCCTCGGAGTTAACCGGGAGCGGCAGCGCGACGCGAGTCCGAACCCCCTCGGGTGAGGGCGGCAGCGCGCGACGCGTGTCCGAACCCCCCCCGGGACCCCTTTCCATGCACCCCTTTCTGGTTTACCGCCATTATTTCCCAGGGACGGGTGGGGAGGGTCCGGAAAATGCTGACAGCGAAGCTGCTCAGATATTTTGCTCCCTCTTTTCACTCTCTCATCCCACATCGAAGTTAAGAGCACTAGCCAGTACACGAAATCGTTCCAATTCTGCAGGCAAGAAATCGTTCTGAAGCAAAGTTTGCACACCGTCACTGATGTAAAGTCTGGCCACAGCGGTATCTTGCCATCTCCCAACTATCAAAGTCAAGCCCATGTTCTCGAATCTTCTATAGTGAGTGGTGGCACCTCCACGGCGCAAAGAATAAATTTGATATCCGTGCCGCTCCAGGTTCAGCGACCTCAAGAGAGCTCTGAAGACATCGCGAAACTCGGGCACGGTGCCCTGCAGCAAAGAGCTCTCAGGCGGCAAATGCTGTGTGAGCACTCTGACGAAGTGAACAATCCTAGCGTCGTGGAGCGTGACCGACTCCTCACAGTGCCGTCTCTTGCCTGCCTTGGTCACCGGCAAGGCTATGACAAGGCTGAGGCCGTCGTTGCTGAACTGCAGCTGCCACTTTCGAAGAGTAAGAAGCTCCATTGTTCGCAAAAACACAGAGTAGCCAATCACAAGAAGCACCGCCACGTCGTTCCGACTCCAGGACCGAGCCGCCGTGGCAAGTGACATCAGCACATACTCTGGCATGGGTGGTGCTCTTTGTGGCATCTCAGTCCGTTGCCAAGCCTTCAGCAAGCTCCACGCACTGTGCAGCACTCTTTTGCGTCGCAAGAAGAACTGTACGCCAGACAAAGTGGCCCCAGCATCTCCAGCAGGCCTCCCATGCGCCCACAGCGCTTCTATCCATTCACATAACTGAAAGTCGAGCTGCT